CCCCTGCGCACGACAGGTAGAATCTGCCTGAAGTCACCGGCGAACAGTACCGGTTTACCTCCGAACGGCAATTCTGAACCCATGATGTCCTGGAGCAACCTATTGACCACCGTGAGTTGTAGTCCCGGAGACATGGGCGCTTCGTCCCAGACGATGAGTGCTGCGTCACGTATCCTCTGAGCACGCAACGACTGCAAGGTGATGGTCGACGTCGAATCGTCGTTCAGTGTACCGAACGGCAATCCAAACGTCGAGTGCACCGTCATGCCGCCGTCCATGAGCGACGCTGCTATTCCTGTAAAAGCCACGGACAAAACGGATCGCCCTTGGTTGCGAAGCGACCATATGAGGCACCCGTATAGTGTTGTTTTACCTGTTCCACCGGGACCGTCAACGTAGAAAAGTTTTGATACGTTTGTGTTATCGTCTACGGCCGCCATCACACGATTGAACACGGTCCGTTGTTCGTCGTTCAAATTGTCCAATTGTACGGCCCAGCGCACCGCCGCGTCTATAGCACCAAACATGTTGTCGTCCTGGTCTTCTTCCAGCAATGTGACGTCCGGCAGTGGCAAACCGTAGTCCGCAAGCGATTTTCCGTGACCACGAAGCATCTTGTCGATTGCGTCCAAACACGCAGCCCTCGCACGGTCAATGTCCCCCAATCGGTGATTGAAGTCCTGCAACATGTGACGTTCGCTGGCTCGATACAACGCCAGCGGGTTTGTGATCTCGCAGTGCAAAAGCATCGTCACAAATAGGTAACGAAGCTGGACTGGAGTGTCCAATGTTGCCGATTCTGCCATGCACGCCAACATAGCTCGGTCGTCTTCCACAAGTCCCATCGCGACGGCAGCAGCCGCGTATGTTGGATGCTCTACCCCGTCTACTTTCCTCATGTCCCGGAAACACTGTGGGCCTCTCTTGTGTAAAAGTAGCAATCGTAGGTAGAAACGATCGCGATCAAGTGGGTTGACAACGTACATTCGAGCCAACGTCTCGTACGTCATCCGCCTTCGACGTCGTGTCCACGTTCTTGTAGTCGCGTTCCAAGTGTAATGTACCGGTATCTCTTGGTAAAGGTACTGTCTAGCTTCTACGTCCGTTACGTTGAGGTCGAAGAATGCCGTGAGTTCGGTTCGAGCCAGAGCCGCGTTCTGCACCCGCTCTAGTACCTGTCCAGGTCCAAAGTACACATTGTGATGGTCTTCCAGGTGTACCGGAAGTCTAATGATCGTATGACTCTTGTTATGCATTTCATATGAAAATAACCTCCAAACTGCTTCTGGTGGACTGACGTACCGTGAGTTTATGTAACTGAAATCAACATAAACGTTTATCGTAAACATTCAGGAATAAAATATATATATGTATATATGTATATATACACCTAAAAATCATAGGAATGTGATTAGCTCACATTTAAGTCAATGTCAATAGAACATTATGTAATAAAGAAATGAATATTATTCCTTTCAATTACAAAACTTAATATTAGGATGACATGTTAATTTGTATGAGATTACTCAAGTATTTGTCCAAGGAAAATATTAGAACAAATAATAATTATTAAAATTGAATCATTTTAAATTGTGTTGCATTATTGGTTCATAAGTCACAAAATAAAATGTAATATTGTGTATTGAATAATATGAATATTTATGAAAATAAAATTTACCAATGATATGTATATATACACCTAAANTATTTGTCCAAGGAAAATATTAGAACAAATAATAATTATTAAAATTGAATCATTTTAAATTGTGTTGCATTATTGGTTCATAAGTCACAAAATAAAATGTAATATTGTGTATTGAATAATATGAATATTTATGAAAATAAAATTTACCAATGATATGTATATATACACCTAAAAATCATAGGAATGTGATTAGCTCACATTTAAGTCAATGTCAATAGAACATTATGTAATAAAGAAATGAATATTATTCCTTTCAATTACAAAACTTAATATTAGGATGACATGTTATTTTGTATGAGATTACTCAAGTATTTGTCCAAGGAAAATATTAGAACAAATAATAATTATTAAAATTGAATCATTTTAAATTGTGTTGCATTATTGGTTCATAAGTCACAAAATAAAATGTAATATTGTGTATTGAATAATATGAATATTTATGAAAATAAAATTTACCAATAACATCTATCGCATATACAGAATAACACTTAACACAATAATGATAGATGAAATGTAATTTTGAACTCAACAATTAAAAATATAAGTTTAATTCAATTACTTTTCAATTTCATCTCCATTCCAAACTTCCAAGGTTGCTGCGTCTTGGCCCTTGTAGACGTATTTATACAAATACATTACGCTCTTCACGGTAGAGCACACCTCAACGTTTATGTGTGCATCATACTTGACCAGCAAGTATGGGTTGTACGGGACAACAAACTCATTGGCGACAGGATGACCTCTGACGTTGACCACAAGTCCATTGTTCGGTCTACGATAAGTCGGGTAACCACCATCAGAAATGTATACAGTCTCCTCGCTGTATTCTTTGGGATATTTCTTCGTACAACTGTTGTCCAACATACACGGGCTGTTGCGGTTGAGTGGTCCACACGGACCATGAATCATGTGCGATTTTACACTGTCGAATAGGCGCCTTTCGGATGCAGGGTCAGGCAAGTAGGCACACACAACACTGTCGACGTCGTCGGCAGTGAGTAACTTGCTGTCCTCATCCAAGATGATGAGTATATGTGCATGTGGAAGACCACGTTTCTGAAACTCAATAGTGTAAACATAAGCATCTACATTACCAAACACCTTATTGACCGTAATGTCACGCATTAGCTCCTTCAGTTTTGCGTGAAACACCCTCGCCACCAAATCAGGCCTGTCGGTTGCCTTCAACCAACATGGAATGTTATCTACAATCTCTGGCCACCTAGGGTTACACGTAAATGTTATGAATAAGTCAGGCTTTCCGTACTTACGCACAATGGACATTGCGTCGTGGTAACATTGTTTCATGTACCGAGGGCCACCTAGAAACGTCGAAGGCAGAATTGTCCTGCGGCCGACCGGATCGATTTCGTCTAGTCGGAGCTGTTGGTTAATATGGTCCAGAAGGCCTTGATAGGCGTCAGCAAAGAGTGCTTTCTGGTGGTCTCTGAGGTAACGTAGATTGTTCGCTTCCACTCGAACGTACTGATCACATATGTACTGCTGTAATAAAAAACCACCTGCGTGTATTAAACTGAATGTATGACCTTCATTTCCGTTGCTATTGGTTCCGGTGTATCTGATGGCCAGGCGAGAAGAAGCAAACTCTTTCATAGAGTTCCGAAGACGCACTTCGTTCCGGCGGATGCCCTCTTGTCGCAGGTTGTAATGCCAGCCGGTTTCTCCGTGTGGGAAAAGTAATGGATACAGCATTGGATCTGCATGAGGTGATCCAGCTGATATGCTTTGCATCCGGTGATTTGGGTCAACTGGGTTCGATTCTTAGATGACCAGATCTAGGTTGCCTGGTGGTAGACCATCTTCACCAACAAAGACAACTGCTACCTCGTTCACATGAGCAGCTGGTTGATTGTATCGCCGTGGGTCAGTGTTCGGGTCGGCGACGATGTGCATGGTCACCCTTTTCGGTCGCAACATAGGATTGGCAGCAGCAGCATCTTGTTCCCTTTGCCATACTTGTCGCATGTTTCTGTAAGAAAATAATATTGTGTTATCATTAAAGCCACATGATATATCCACATGTGTGTACAGTAGAAGGCTGAAGTATAAATGTTACCCGTAGGCAAGTGCAACCTAATAAATATTACAGAACAGAATGTAAATGTATTGATGCTGTTAAAGACATATTACTAAGCACACATACTGTAAACTATGAAATTCAATTTTGCATAGAAGTATTAAGTAAAAGTTTCGTTTGGTACAATGTACACTGTAATAGAAGTGTACACAATAGAAGTGAAATCAATGTAGATATATTGTTATGTACATGATATATATATATATATATTTATGGTATAGTATATAGTGAATATGAAATTGTTAAGAGCTGTTGAAGTTTGATGTTAACGTTTAAACTTGAAAAAGTCTTTTATCGAGTGATTAGTAATGAGTACTAATTGAAATGTAAACTATAGATATTTAAACAGAAATGTTGCACTCACTGTCAACACAAATGTCTATTCAATACAATGTTAACTTAGGTTATTCGTTGTGTCATAAAAACATACGTAAAAGTGCAATATCTATATTAATGTATTGTGTATTCAATGCACTCAACATCATATGAACCATGTGTCACACAGACTTGTCACACAGACTTTTGTCATCATACTAATCGAATTGGTTATTATTAAAGCCACATGATATATCCACATGTGTGTACATTCAAAGGATGAAGAATAAATGTTATCCATATGCAAGTGTGACCCGATAAATGTTACAATACATTATATTTTATGTAATTCGGAAATGTACAGATACTGGTAAAGACATATTACTAATCACATTTAGTGTAAACTATGAAATTCAATTTTGCATAGAAGTATTAAGTAAAAGTGTTTTTTGGTACAATACACACTGTAATGGAAATGTACACAATAAAAGTATAATCAATATATATATGTTTGACAAACATATTTATAAAGACCTTTGGGTCGTTTAAATAATAAAGCCCCAGGGCTTAATAAAAGATATATAAAAAAATATATATATATATATATTGGTATGTACACGATATATAAATGTATGGTATAGTAGTGAATATGAAATTGTAAACTGTTGAAGTTTAAACTTGAAATAGGTGTTGTAATGAGTGAGTACTATTAAAATGTAAACTATAGATATTTAAACAAAAATATTGCACTACATTATGTATATGTGTGTATATATATTTAAGTAATATATATTACTCGAAAGCCACCGCAAATGGATTGATTCGCCGTAACAGTGTGTCTAAGTCTGCCAGCAAGTTCTCCAATAGTGGTCGTTCACGTGGCTGTTGAGCCATGCGAATCTGATTTGCTGCCCCGGATTCAATGAAATACAACTCACAATACCTTGGTGGCATTAGTTCATTTCTGACAACATCATTACTAATCCTACGATACACCTGCCCGTGAACGGAGAATACTCTTGGTCCCTGACCAGGCAAACGTCTTGGGCTCAGATCCGTGGTGAAAGCCGCAAATGCCAGAGTGTTGTTGTACCGGCGGATTTCTTTACGAAAGTGTTTTGCTACCTGCGAATCATCAACCAACAAACGAATTAATAACTCTGGTGGAGGCCTCAAAACACGGTCTCCTGTAATTGCCATTTGACCATTATTGCAACACGCAGAAAAATGACCAGTTGTAGTACGCTCGCAGGAGAAATGGCGGGCATCACAATGGCGGCAGACAACATTCAATGGTCCTATGTCATGCCGTTCTGGAAGTTCGTGTTGAATGCCAGCCGGACGGTCTCTCAGGGGCGCACCCGCTCTGGGTACCATGGGAGGAATCGGTACGAACTGCAATTAAAATGTACAGTTATTAAGAATGTAATGTTATAAAGGTTTATTTAATAAGAATATGTATTTACTAACTTGTTCATTGACGTCTGGTAGTGGAACGTCAAGTGCATCCCTAAATTCAAATCCTGCCGCTGCGTCAGCAGGAAGTAAATCCACATACTCAATGTCATCTTGTACCACTTCTTCTTCAGCTAGGTCCATCATTACCTTTTCCACTTGGACTTCAACAGCTTCTATCTCCATCCCGTTGTTACCAGGGATTGCCACGTCCGCTTCTAGTTCACCGCCTGGTGCAGCAATCTCAAGGAGTGGTTGAACTACCTGAAGTATTAAAGGAATTCCGTTGTAATGTGCTTATGCTAAAAATCTCAAATACTATAAGCTTAAATATGCGTAGTGTGTGTTATTATTATGATCAACTATATATGTATATATATATATATATATATATATATATATCAAGAACATGTCAATTAATAAGTACATAAAAATCTGTTCACCGATAGGGAATATAATAAGTACAACACAATAATTCAATTAAAAACAATGGCTAGAGAGCATGTTACAATCAAATAGTTATTTACATTTAAGCTCAATGTCCTAGTGAGGTACACTAAAGAATGAATACAGTTCAAAAGTAGTATCTCAAATATTATTGGATTAAGCATTGAATATATGTGACGTATGTGTCATTATAATGATTAACTATGTATATCAATAACATGTGACTTAATAAGCAAATAAAAATCAACTCCACGTCCTGGGAATGTAATAAGTACAGCAAATTTTAAATAAATAAGAAACAGTGTGGAGAGCATATCATAATCAATTAGTTGGTAACGTTTAATCTCCATGTCATAGTAAATTACACTGAAGACTGAATGAAGTTGAATAGTAGCATTTGTTGAATAATTATGACTGTAATAAGTAATGTGTTTTATGTAAATGAAAAATATAATCTGTAGCCTAGGGAATGTGTACCTTATGACAATACATTTAAGTAAGATACACACAAATGGAAGTGTAAAAAGAACAAAAGTATTATTGTGATTGGTTAAATTAAATGATTAGAGAAAATGCTTCGTTATATTTGAATAGTAATATAAATTGAACAATTGGTATTTAAATATAAAAAATAATATAATATAATTAATTTCCTAATATTGATTAAAAAATCAATTCATAAGTTATTAAGATGATAATAATTAGCTATGAATACAACTGTTACAGTGTAAGTTATGTTTATGTGTAGCTTATAATAACATTGAAACATTGTGATTGGAATACATAATAACAATAGTACACTCACTAAAGATGGTACCGCTCTTGAAAACAGGCGACGACGATTTGTTTCAGCTCTGTAATCATGACCTACTACAAAATGTCTTGAGCACAGTTTTGTGGTGACCAAAATGGGTTGTACATTTACACCGCAGCTCTCGACAAACAACACCCACTGACGTCTCTGTTGGTCATTCGTTGGAAACCTAATACAACCATGGAGGCATGGAATTATGAATAGTTTCAGTGTAAGGTTAGATTAGTAGTAAAATGAAATTGAGTTTTTAATAAATGTATTGTAACCTGTGCACTGAAACTCCATCCACACCATCAACGTTTCCGCAAATCACACATAATTTAACCATGGTGATGTACCTAAAGTTTGACATTTTGAAGTAAATAAAGAAGAAACTATAAATTAGCACCATATTGAAAACGTAATTAATGTATTATAATATATTTTTTCTTAAAACGTTTGTATAATTATTATTAAAAATAAGTTGAATATAAGCGCATAATAAACGTAGGTAATAATAATATGCATTTTGTACGTATGCACGACACTGGGCGCCGTCATAGCGGTTTTATGTTATCACTGTTATTATCAGTATGTTATCGCTTTTGATTGCCCGACGATGAAGCCCAACGGGAATTCCAAGAGATTTGTGCTATATTTAGAAAAACTGTGTATACTGTATACTTGTCTTATAATTATACGCGGTGGCGTATCTACGGGGGGGGTATGGGAGTCGCCCCCGGCCAGGGAGGATATTTAAATTAAATTTTTTTTATTTATTTTAGTTAATGACCAAAGTGTTGTATACTATAACACTGTACCTAACAATATTTTACTATGAATAAATATGTGTAATTAAATCCCCCCCCCCCGTGAGAAAACCCCACATACGCTACTGATGGTACATAATATACACGGAAAACAATGTTTAAGAGATGTTCCGGACTTACAAAACAAAAGCGTAAGAAGGGAATCCAAAAAAATATCGCGGTGAAAAAGCGCGACGTACGTAACGGGAATGTATTTCAACTACTGACCGACGATGTCGGGAAAGAATGTAGAAATAATAGAACACATTGAAATGCAAATAAAAAAACGCGACACCTTCGAGACACCGAGTTGGGATTTTTAGGGAGCACGCTCGGAAAACAATGCATGTCGCTTTTTAAATCAGGCGTAACTTAATAATTTGGTTACTCTAATGATGTTTAAGTATAATACCGTGTATTGTACACGGGGTGAACAATTAAGCTTTTAAATAATAAAAAAA